CTTCAGGTTTTCGTTTCCACTTATTCCGCTCGCTTCACTTCATTATCACCACCTCAGGCTAAGTTGTTGCCATCATAGTATGCTGTGTCGTTTGTGGAGGCTCGTCAACACCCGTTTTAGTGGCTCGGTATATCGGTAAAGGCGCATTCACACCGAGAAAAAAACGCCCGCTGCGTTCCACGTCGACGCCGGCATCGAAAAAGACGAAGCCACGAAGACGAAGACGTCGACGTCTTCTCAAGGGACCTCGCGCTTGCCGAGAGAACACGAAAGCTTTTTAGTCCGCTTCGTACGATCGTTGTTGCCCAATTGCCTTCGCGATTGCATACACGCTCGAAGACAACCCTCTTCACAGAATGGAAAACTGCGATGATTATATATACCACGGACTCAAGCGGGCCGCTTCAGAAAGTGTTCTTTTGCTGCGTTTTCGTGCAAACATAGCACGGCCAAGCCGGCGCGTCCGTACCTTTAACACTGCGCGCAGCTTGTGCGATAGTGTTCTCCTCGAGGTCGCGTGCACACAAGCGAACCGTAGTGGTGGCGTGCACACAAAGAATACACAAAACAGATTGGGAGTGATCGATCCCGCACAGTCGGAGGTCGGAACACACTGCGAACTCACGGCGTCGTACATGCTGTCAAATGTCCCAATCGGCTTGCTTCTCTCCACGCTGAAATGCATCCAGCCACGTTAGGCGACTGCATGAATCCCTCGAATCCTCTGCCTTTTCGCCTTCCTTGTGGATCGAAAATAAAAACAGCGAAAGCATGTCCTGACCGGAAAAGGGGCGCACGTCACGTCCGGTCGCTCGTCGATTGGCTCAAGCGCGCGCGCGTCGAGGGAAAAATGGGATCCAAAGACGGTCGTCTCCCTGCGTCGTTCTTTTCCAGTGCGGGACTTTCAATACAAAAAATTAGCAAAAAAACGACGACGGTCGGAGGCGAGGGTTTTCAACGCTCTCCGGTGGTAAGAAAACTCTCGCCCCCGAAGGTCATTCCGGCAGTTCCCACGGTTCTCACGTCGGATCGGGCGGTTTCGTCGCACATGTGAGACGAGACAAGCTCAGCAACGGCCGTTGTAAATCTGGCATCTGTGAAGCGCGCCCGATTTACCCACAACATAAGACCCACAGCAGACATTGAGATGGGCGAATTTAGGTCTCGTAACACCACCAATGTAGCCACATTAGAGGGTTTCCCACGGCTCCATCGGAGTCACGTGGTTTTTTGGCCGCGTTTGCAATAGGAGCTGAGCTGTCGAAAGCGTTGAACGTTCGCAAGCGTCTCCACATTACCGCCGGCTTTCCTCCTCGTAAGGCGAGAACGCAATGCGGTGGAAGCTAAGGTGCTCGGGGGACCAATCTTACGCCTATCTTTAATCATGTGATCACGCTCCCTCTCGTATTCACGCGGAAAGTAGGGTGCAGGTAATGATATGGAGGCGGTTGATTCGTCCGTCGGACCCGTAGCTCCCACAGCACTATCAGCTTCGGAGTGAACCAATCGGCGCAAACGGCAGCCTCTATTAAATTACTCGTATTACAAACGCACTGCGGGGTTTTGAGTTGCACCCTCTTATATCTAGGCTCCCTAAACGCCACAACTCTCCAGAGGTCTGCACTCATCGACCCGCAGTAAAAATATTGAGGGACACCCTCAGCCATTTGCAGCCTCGAAACCTGACCGACCCGCTCAGCCCCACTTTACACTATCTGCGGGAAAGTAACAAACTCAACATTTAAAAGAGGGCATTAGTATGTTTTCCACTTTAACAATTTAAAGGGCTAGGCATCCTGTTCGAGGGCAAACACTACTGAAATTTGGCAGAAAGAAGATTTACGAAATTCGCAATGCCCAGTCTCGTAAAACACCGACCGTTCGTGGCTATCCTATTCGCAACTCCAGCCCGCCGCTCGCCCTCTCGCGGCCAAACGGAGAACCAGAGGAGCGGGGAGGGCAGCAGCGGCGGCGGCGGCGCGGAGACGGTGGCAGGGACTGTCGGCCTTGATGCGTGAAGCCGTTTTAATGAAAAAAGGGAGCGCGTTAAAAGAGGAATTCTTGTGCTCCGCCTTGCAACAACGTTGTACGAAGGACCGGGTCGGACCGAGTAATGGAGAATTGTATACTTCGTTTCGGCTTCCGTCCGAGCGCAGCCAAAGGCTGAGGGACGGTTCGCAACTACGAGAAGAGCATTCCTACGCACCACAAAGTAGTTCACAAAAGTAATTTCTTTTAAAATAACTGTTTTGTGCGTAAAAACTGCACAATGTTCCAGATGTGTACTGCTCAGAATGATTTGCAACTAAAGGAATCAATTCTCTGAAGTTTATGTTTCTATTAATATATTTAAATGCATGTGGTTTGGTGAAAACATGTATATCCGCTGGCAACACTGCAGCGCTCGGTTTTTCTGTGTGATTTCGTTCCCGTAATCGCCTCATCATGTGCTTCGCTGCTTTCCTCACCGAGTCGCTTCAAAACGCCCTTTCGCAAAGGCACGTCTGGGCGTCAGGCGCGAGAAGTCGTGATGAATGTCTACTTTCCAATTCCGCAGGAGACTACGGCCGCGTCGTACCGCGAATGCGTTGTAAACATGCAAAGCGTCCGGGCCACTACAATTCATATACGCGGCGAAATCAGGGCACCCCTTTACCTGCCGAACAGGGGGAAAGCTCGGACAGAGATGCCAGCGGCCAGCCTACGTACTGACATCCCCTGTGACTAAGTTTCAGAACGTGAAAGGGTACTTTTTAAACTTGTAGCAGGCGATATCGTTGATACACCCGTAGCAGACGAAATACTCGGCGAGCGCGGGCGGCGCGGCCGACCGGCGGCGCAGCGGAGTGATACAATAGTGCAGGCGAGATCGCGTGACCCACTGCCGGCGTGTGATTGGCTCCGGCCACACGTAGCTTTGGCTGCGCTCGGACGGAAGCTGAAACGAAGTATAGTAGACCGTTTCCGCTGCCCGCTAAGCACCCGGATAGCGCTCCGTAATCCGCCACAAGACCTTGAACTATGCAGAGAAGGCTGGCAGCGCGCATGCGCAGCTGCGCCGTTTTCTTCGGGGATACCGTAGCGGAGGAGAAAAACGATCTACTGCAATTCCCTAATATTTCGTGTATCGCCTACGCTGCGGATTTCTGGTCTTGTGCATGGCCCCCAACTGAATATGTGCTCAACGTGACGGCAAACGCTCCCTTTAATAATAAAGAACTCTATAGATACGGTCTACGAAAAATCTATTCTTTGCCATAAGTAGGAGAAAACTCTTCGCGCAACGGTATGTCGAGCAATACAAATCGGGAATGGCTTCGCGTTTTAAGGTCGCTACAAGGAACATGACCATTTACTCCAAACACTTTAAAAAGACAGAATACCCGTATTTGCTTTCAGGTAATTACAAAGCAAATAAAGAAATGCTCTAAGCATTTTAAGCGCGTCTGTGGTAGCCAGCCGTTCCTGACAAGAGCTTAGAACGCGCAGTTTTGGCCAGAGCGACCGCAACGTTGCAAATAACACGGTACAAAAAATGTACGGTATATTAAAATATTTATTTTTATAGAGAAATAAATAAAACCTCTAAACCCCCGCCGATTATGTTAATAGACAGTTTTTGCATAGCGTACGACACCCCTAAACTCCAGTTGAACGTAGAGAGCACAGACGTTCAACCGGCGCTATACCATCTTTCACGAGCCGCGCGGCTTGATAGCAGCGAGTTGTACAACGTATTAAAATAGCTTAAGTGTAAATGACAGTAAAAAAAAGCGATTGGTGTTTTCTTGGCTCTACTGCAAAACCCCAGTTTTTTTTTTTTTTTTTTTTTTTTCTGATGCGTATTTTAGCTGCATAATGTCTTATATTGCGCCGGCATCAAGCCTTTCGTTGAAGTTGGGGCCGTCAGTTTGACGCCAGCGCGCTGCACGGCAGACTGAAGTTTCGGAGTGTCGTAAATGTGACAAGAGATGTAAAAACGACAACTCTTTTTTTTTTACTTTTTTTTTTTTAGAGTGATGAGGACGGCAACGCTCCTGACGCGCACTCAAAATTGTGCTTCAAAGGCGCAGCGTGAGCTTCCGGTTGTAATGCTACACCGCACGGTAGCCTGCGGTAACAAACTTTCTATCAATAACCGTAGATCAGTTTGATCACGTGTGTCAATACACTAAAACCGAGACGCTGAGCAGAGAGTTGTGAGCCTGTGACGCGGACGCCAATACTGTGAACGCTGCTTTCCGAAGCTTGACGGTCACCGTTCGCGGCTCACTTTTTAGAGCACGAATGGCAAGGCAAAGCGCAAACATGATATCTTCATCACCCTCAAAAATATTCTGCCACAAACAGAAACGTGACCGGTGTCTAAAACGCGCTCGCCCACCACAAAGCTTCGCATTTTGAGGTTTCTGCAACTTTTAAATATCAGTATGCTCGATTTCCTAACGTCCATCAGCATCTCCGTCTCCTGTAATATGATCTCTCCCTAACCGCTTCGCATTTGTAGACAAATAAATTATTTTTAGCGCGCGGAACAGCATCAGCGAGCAGGCACACGGGATATCCTGGAGAATCTATCCCAGTCTCTTCTGCCATTTTGGAACTACCGCCCCGCCATCTATAAGGCATTGGAGTTGCGAATATAATTAAGTCATTAGAAAGGTCCTGTGAAATGGTGAATACTACTCAAAATCGAAAGAATGAGCACGGAATTAAGAATCAAATGAAACCACCTAACTTAATTTTTTGTATATTATTGTAATCGTATGAGCTTGGAAAACACCAATTCTCGGGAACATGCGACTGCGCGGTCAGTGAAGCCAACTGTCTGGCTCCACAGGCTGAGGGTCCGACTGACGTAGTGTCAGACAGTCCGCATGAGCGCATCACGGGAAGGGCCGACACCGATTCAGCAAATACGTTCAAAAACTAGGAAGTATTTCGGTTTCGACACCGCTTTATGCCAGCAAGACTCCGGGAGGAAAAATATGAAAACAACAAAAGGGGTGAAGCATTGTTTATTTCACAATGACGCTTGAATGCAGCTGGTTATGAAATGAGAAAGATTAAAAAGCTGCCGGTTTGGAAACCGCGGCGGTCATTAACGAACCGAACGCATGATCATGCTAGGATCGTAGTAGTGACGGTACTGGGAACCGGTTTCAGCCAGCGGCCTCATGGTGCCGTCCTCCTGGAGACCATCGAGACTCGAGGGCAGACCCGGGAGCTGAGGAGGCTGGGTGACGTTCGCAGCATCCGTTGACACTTCGGTGATCTTGATAACGCCATGATGTGTCGCCAGAGGTACTGTGCTGGAGGCCACTACGAACGACGTGGGCCTGGTGACCTTGAACTGCGTGGTGACGCGTCCTTCCCCATGTGTGGCCGAACGGGTGTTGAAAGGTGGGCTAGTGGTAGTCTTGAAGTCAGCCGTGACGTCTGGGAACTTCGTATTGTCTGCATAGGTGGTGTTGGTTGCCTCCGCGGTGGTTGACACAGTTGAAGACGGCGTCGAAACAGGGGTGGTGCCCGTTGGAAGACTCGCAGCCATGGTCACAATTGTGGTGGAAAGGACTGCCGATGCAGGAACTGGACGGGTGGTAGTCGCAGTCATGACGGTACCGACAGTAGCAGACTGGGTTACCAAGTCCATTCCAGAGGTGGCGGCTACGGTAGCCGCAGTAGCAGAAGGATGCGGGCTACGTCCAGCTGGTGGAGTCTGGAGAGGACGAGTGGTGACCGGAACGCTCCGTGGTTCGACGGTGATGGTGGTCGAAGCCTCAGACGGTGGAGCGTCCGATTCCCTGAATTCCACGGGCGTACTCTGAGAGATTGTGGACAGGGTCGAGGGGTTCTGAGTAGTCGGTACCAGCGGCGCCCTCAGGCCGGGAATGTATGGCCGCAGAAAAGCGAGCAGCCCGGAGAAGGACGGTGGCGGGTCTGAGACAGCGCCTAGGGAACCTGCATAAAACAAACACCCCGCGATAAGTAGTCAAGTGTAGATACGAAAATGCTCGGGACTGAATAGCCTTATAGATGTTCCATATTCTGCAACTACGACAATGTCCCAGATCAGCAAGGCTACGGACACAGTCGGTTGCACACCATTTCATACTCGAATCACCCTAAAAGGGATGCGGAACCTAGCATTTCAATGTTCACAGTCGGTTGCACACCATTTCATACTCTAATCACCCTAAAAGGGATGCTGAACCTGGCATTTCAATGTTCATAGTAAGTGGCGCACGATCTCTCCACGAGCCAGCAGCAGCCACGTACTCGCAACGAAATGGACGTTACAGTCCTCCATTCGAACTTATGATGACAGGGAAATTTGTAGGTTCCGGGGAAAAGGAGAATAAAGACAGGCTTTTCCTTTCCACAGCAGGGTCGGGTGTAAAAGGTAGGCAATTAATCTGTCTAACAAGCACGTAGCTTTCACTTGTGGAGATTAAAAGACAGTTTTTTTTTTTTTTTCGTTTTGCCCCGAGCTCCTACATTGCACAGTCATCTTAAACGTGAATGGAGGACAATTACGTAGATTTCGGTGCGTGCTCGGGCAAACCGGCAACAGCTGGATCGTGGAAAGATCGCGTGCCACTTCTTGTGGACACAAACAGTCGTTTCACTGTTTCTCAAGCAGAGACTAAAAGCTCACGTTTTCAGTGCGAGCTCTCTGCCCTCCCCAAGACAAAAGTTAACTCGCAGACGCGCGCAACGAAAGCACTGTGGAAGCCAGCGAGCTCGTGCTGAAGGCGGATCTTCTATTCAAAGGTGAACCGCGCTCCCCGACAAGACTGACCGAAGCAGTTTCCCCAACCGACAACGATAGTAAATTGAAGATCAATAGAATATACCTCACCTGTCGTGGTGAACAGAGACGTTGGTAGTACCGTTGTAGAGGCTGGCGCCGCCTCCGAGGTCACAGTAGTCAAATCCTGAGTGATCGTTGATGTGGACACAGTCTCGGAGGCACCCTGACGCCCGTCGAACACCACGAAGTTAGCGGTACCGTCGGCCTCAGTCACCAGCTTCAGCACGGGGTCCTGGAGGTGGCCAATGGCCAGCGCGAGCTCATCCAAGTTCACGGTGCTGTAGTTGGAACTGTAGTTGGCGGGTGGAGCGGTAGCCAACAGGTCCATAACGGTCGTCGTCGCCGCGGTCGTGCCGAAGGTCGTGTTGGACGTCCCCATGGTCGTGGTCGCAGATGTCGTCGATGCCTCCGTCGCTGATGCCTCGGTCGTCGCCACGGTCGTGGTTGCTAAGGTGGTCGCAATGGTCGTTGGTACCACGGTCGTTGTCTCTGACGTCATGGTAGTAGCGTTCAGGGTTAAGTTCGCGTTGGCAGTACGATCCACCGGGTTGTCGCGGAGCCAATAGAACGGCGAGCCGAAGTCGAAAGTGGCGTCCACGGCGCCGAAGTTGCACGCCAAGACGGCAACCACAATAAATGTCGGAAGAATCATCTTCCCACGGGTCATGGGTGGCAGAAGACACGAGTGACGTCTGAAAGGCAAAATGTCTCGGGTTGAGCACGCTGACGTAGCAGTAAATAAGAGGAAGAAAACAAAAAAAAATAGCCGACTAAAGCAGAGGAGACGTTTTTCCCCTACAACATTGAAGCGGCAACAGACTCCCACCAGATCGTGAAAGAAGAACCCGAAAGCTTCACAAATTTGCGCCGCAGTAGCTGGGAGATTAAACACTATAAATTCAATACCTTAAACTCACGCCACTTTTCTTTTCTTTTTTTTAACTCGCGAAATAGCCCTACTATTACAGATAGCACATAACAATCTATATCAGGAGCACTGCACTCACATGGCAGAACGGTCAGCACGAGGCACCAGCAGCAGTCTGTCCGGCACACTGATGGGATGGGGTGTGGCAGCGGAAGCAGCTCAGTAGGGCGAATTTATCACTTCCAAACGCGCTCGGACAGGGTTTCCAACATTGTTCGCCATCCAACCCGGAATTGACAGAGAGACGTGTCTTTGTGAAAGACCCACCCACAGGTTTTTTGAAATAATCCGTCTGCCAAAAAAAAGAAACAAAAAGACTGACCCTTTTTTTTTTTTCGCGCGGGGGGGGGGGGGGGGGGGGGGGGGGTGGACGATAACGTGTGCCCTTCACCGTGATCTTACTTTCTTACCTAATGCTTGGCAAGAACGGAATGTTCTGGAAAATCCGATAACCTCATTGTCACTGCGTCGTTTTTTTTTGTTTTTTTTTTTATTTTTTATTTTTTATCCGGACGTGCGAGAATGCTTGAGTCACCTGACACTGATCGTAGTTAGATCTGCTGGTCGATACATATCGCAAAAACGCTACGAATGGACGCCTCGTTTCTTTAGAGGCTGCATTCGCACGTTTCACGATGACCAGCTCTTGTAAGCTCAAGATCGCGTGATTTGTATAGAAAACAGGATAATCATTAGCAGCATACCCAGAATGACCTGTAAACTGAAGAAAACAAACTGTCCCTTCTACTTTTAAGTTTTTGTTTCAACCCCAGTCTCGGGTTAAGTTCCATCATGGTAAACATTCTGGATTTATTTTGAGTGTCTTAGGTGTACCGTCACATCTTGAAGCGTGACAGAGTGACGGTCCATCTTTCAGAGAGCGAATAACGGCGCACGGAATCAGAATATACTGAAAAACGCCATTTCTTTGTCCCAAAAAGCACTTCGTTGTGTGTGCTAAAGTATCAAGGAGGCTTCAGAACAAAAAAAAAAAAACTTGTCTCCTGAAGATTGGTACCATCGGCAGGTCACGACTGATACATTTCAGCGACAAGCGGCATCGCGGCGCAACACATACGTTTCAAAGTTCGTAGGTGACTGACATCGGAGAAAAATTTCTCTTGCTTTATCCCGAAAAGTATATTAGATAACCTGTGAGAAATAAAACGAAACATTATAACGAGGATGTCACGTCATGTTAACAATACTACGAGTATTGTTTTAACTTAACTCGCAATTCCTTCATTTGAAAGAGACTAGACAGGGGAATTATGTTCTTCGGGCGAGCAGTTCCGCATCGAACAAGCGCTCTAAAACCGGAGACATGCGGTTTAGAGAAGCTCGTTTTAGCGAACACCGTTTTACCGACCCCAGTTTATCGAATCCCTTTATAGAGAAACTCAGTATAGAGAAAATGGTGATGAGCCTTCTTTTAGCGACTTCGGCCGCCGCGAAGCGGCGTGTATGCATAGGTCAGGTGAGTTAACACTTCTGTAACGCCGCAGACTGCCGCCGCGAAGCGGCGGGAGCGCAGCAGGGGGCTTGGGTTAACACGAGCACCAGTGATACACGCGCGAAGATGGAAAGCCTTTTTTAAATAGTGTCCCCTTTTCGACAAACGGCGTTTCTCTAAACCAGTGGTCGGCAACCAGCGGCCCGCGGGCCGGATCCGGCCCGCGAGGTAGTATCCTACGGCCCTCAGCCTCCTGGTGACCCCCCCCCCCCCTCCCCCCTACGCAGTCAGCTAAAGAAAAAAAAATAAAGTTGACTAATTCGCTGCCCGTCTGCGAGCAGACTTTTTCACGAATGAAGTGCATAAAATCCAACTTCCGCTCACGAATGACTGACGAGAACCTCCCCAATGTTTTGCGACTCGCAGTTAGCAGCTTGAATGTGGATGTTCGTAGTTTGTCGAGCGCAGTTCAACACCAGAAGTCTCACTGAGAGGAGTCTCTAGGTTTTCGTGGAAATGTCGTACCTCATGTTGTTTGTCGTGAAATAAATAAACTGTTCATTTTCGATTTATGTACGTCAATGTAAGTTCGCGCAAGTGCTTTTTTTTTATTTTAACTCCTCCTCCTCCTCCTCCTCCTCCCCCCCCGCTGCTTGCCGTCCGGCCCGTTCCGCCTAGGCATCGCGGCGACTCGGCCCGCTTCGCCAAAAGGTTGCCGACCACTGCTCTAAACTGAGGCTCTGCTTTCTCCAAACCGTGCTTCGATAAAACGTGCCCATTCTCTAAAACGTGCTTCGATGAAATGGCATTCGATCAACCGTAGTAAACAAAACGGAGACATGCGGTTTAGAGAAGCTCGTTTTAACGAACGCCGTTTTTCCGACCAAAACGACGGTAAAGTCGCTCCGCCGATTTCGGCGGATTCGACCGGAAGCCAGCCTGGCCAGCCCTCGGCGCGCGCTCACGTGACTTCCTTTCTTGCCAGGCGTCTAGCCTTCTCGCTTCGACAGAATTCGTAATGGCCGCACGCGAACTGCCAACCGAAATACTGCTGCTGCTGCTGTGGCTGCTGTGGCTGCTTGATGACAGTTCGTCGTCAAGTTTGCTCGAACAGCTCCTCCAACAGCAGCGCTCGAGTAGCAGCGACGAGGAGGATTGTTAGTCTTTTCGGACATCTTCAAAAGAGGCTGGAAATCAAGACGTACTTGGACACCGTTCACAAGTATTCCGAAGAAGAGGCAAATGGGCTACGCTGATGCACATCGCTTATCGACACACATCTTTTACGTCATAATTAACTCCGCTCGTGCGTTGAACACGCGCTCTTAGCGCCGCGACAGCGAAAACATGTGCCTCGAGATTGGGGACCGCGGAACGGGGTTCCCTTGAAGTTAAATGGCTGGAAGGCACCCGCCGATACCGGAGAGGTGGTCATGTTCCACTGTGTATCCGGAGGCGGAGCGACTCCGTTCGGATAGCGTGCTTCATCTCGGATCTGGTCTACTGATCCCGGCGCGCTCCAAAACGACCAAGCGGAATTGGCCATTACTTAGCCACTTCTCTCTGAGCATGCTTTCTTTCGGGAAGACATAAAATCCGACGCGTTTTTGCCTGGTGCTGTTATTGCATCGTCCAGGCACACAACCAGAGGAAGCCACTCATTAAAAACCGTGGGTAAAGACCCAATTAAAAGTCTCGTACTAACCCGAAAATTTCCAAACGGCAGGCATACAGCGCGCACTGTCGCTGCCGGTAAATTTGGGAGGACTACAGCTACGAAAATGCACCGCGGCAGCGGCGGCGGCGGCGCGCAACTCCTCGTTAGATCGGTCTATTGACCAGACAGCATTGCGCGCTCATTGGTTGTGCAAATAACAGGGAAAAATGTAAATTAAGCGCCATATATTGTGTGATGACTATAAATAGACTCTCGTTGAAAGTGGTTTAGTGCCCCTTTAACATTTATTTAGTTCTGCTAATGCCATAAATAAACTCCACGGTACAAAATTTTGGGGAGAAAAGAAAACTCGAAACAGCAAGTCGATTTCCGATGGTGCCGGTACGCTACGCAATGCACACGCCGTCCGGGTAACAGTCCCCGCATGGCGGTCGGTCAGCCGAACGGCTCAGGAGCTCCGAAGTGCCCGGAAGAAGGTAGGCGGCGCTACATTCGTTAAAGGGGTCCTGGATGGACTTTTTTACTGATTTTTAATCTGAACCGAACCTGAGCGCACTGAACGTAGTAACTTAATAAAACTTTTCTTTTCTCGAATTTCGCTTTATTTTAAAAGTTATGGGCAAATTAATATTACAAAAACAAGCAATAAATAACCTCCTTCATGACGTTCTTGGTGGCTTGAGTGGCCGTGAGCTAGAGGAGGGGTAGTGAGCTCCGCAAGCTCTCACGGCTGCCGCACTCCGTGTCAACGGCTCGTGAGGGCGCTACTAAAGCATGTTCTGGATAGGCTGTATGAAGCGAGCAGCCAGGCCAGCTCGCATTGCATTTGCTGCGCGATTAAACATTAATTCGGCATTACACTTCATTGGCCACAAACAACAGCAAACACGGGGTAAATATCAGTTCAGAACGGGAGTCACTTTGCGCTGCCATACCGAGAAACGGCCAAACCCAAGCCCAAAGCTGCTCGCCGAAGGCCTTCGGAGCGCTCAGAACCCGGCGGATCCTCCAGTCCATACGACCGCAGCGCCGCCGCGTACATCCGGGACCTTTCTACGCTCGCGGCTCGTCGGCGCCTGATCCCACTACACCTTTCTAGTACGCGGCGCCTTTTCCATCGCTTGGTGGCGGGTATGTCGGTGGGTGTTTTCTTGGTGCCGTACTTTCTAAACTGCATGTGTTTCCTTTCTGATCTAAAATACTGAACAAAGCTACTTTTATGAATAATTGAAACCTTTCGCGCCACTTATATTGTGTATTTTGACTAAAAAGAAACTTTTTGCGGCTTTCACCAGTAGTAAGATCGCGCGCTTTCGGTACCGCGGGTCGCCCCTGTAGGTGGAGGAGGTTTCCGCGTCGTCGGGTTAAATATGACGCACTGATATTTAGTTACTCTCCCCGTGCCCGCTGGCTTGCCCGAACTCCAAGAGACGTGGAAACACCAAAAAAGGTAGACGCTGAAATATCATTGCAGGGCCCCTTTAAAATGGCGCCACAAAGGAGGCCCGTGTAATAGAACGGTCGATAAGGCTAGGAAAGCAGCGGCAAATGCTCTTCGAAGGGATTCATATCCCTCCGCCGGCCAATCGCATCCCCTCAATTCTTGAATACGTATCTTACCAGGACTCTCGTGCCACTTTCAGCATAACTAGAGTTTCAGCCATTATTGGATTATCTGATGACATACTAACGCTTGTAATATTTTTTTTTTTTTTAATGCGAACTACTCTGATGAAAAGAACACTAACAAAATATTAGTGGCGTTGCAAAATAACAGTGCAACTGCTTCGTCACTGCGTTTGTAGGAAAATGTAGTGCTGTCTCGTTGATATCAACGCCTCTGTCCCCCTGTTTCCCCCCCCCCCCCCCCCCCCAAAAAAAAAAAAAAAAAAGCGTCCGTAATGAGAGTTGTCCATAATAAAGGAGACAAAAATCCACGTATTTACTCATTTCGTTTCCGGAAATATTGTCTATACAAAACGAGTTATCCATAATA